CAGCTTTTAAAAAGATGGAAATTATGATGACACGTGCTACAATATAGTTGAATCGAGAAGACAGCACGCAAAGTAAACTAAACCAGACACTGAAGAACAAACACTGTGGGATTCTGCTTCATGGGGCACTTAGAGGCAGAAAGTGGGCTGGCGGGGGAGAGAGCGGGCAGTTAGAGCTTCCTTTATAGAGGTTCCATTGGAAAGAGGAAAAGGTTGCGGTGGATGGCGGTGATGGTTGCACAACAATGTGAATGCATTTATGCCACAGAAAGGTACACTTAAAAATGTTGAAAATGGTTTTATGTTATATACATTTAAACACAATTTGAAGAGGAAGCGGCATCTATTTACCACATAGGTTAAGAAATTCTGAGTCTCACTTAAATCCCACAGACAATATGCGTGCGTTTAGTAGGCACTTGTCTTAAGTGGGTGTAGCCCCACACTTCCTCCAGCCCTCTGAGTCCTGGATCCAGTGTCAGTGCAGTTTCCAAAGCCACTGTAGCAATAACCAAACCCGTCCGCTTGTGTACATCCCAGAAGTTGGTTTAGGTCTTGGCTGGTGGGTCTATCTCACGGAACATGTCGCCATGTCCACCCTGTATAAAGTCAGCGCACCTCAGGGTGAGCCGAGAATTCACAACTTTAAGGGATTGCTTCCTCCAGCACTTTCCTGTTTTGAACTTCGCAGTCTGGCCTTGTTTCAGTACTCTGGCCCCAAAATGGGCTGAGTCTTACACTTCCTGTGGCTGAGGTGGGCCACCTCCAGGCCCAAGTAATAGGGGAATAAAGAAAACAAGTGTTTCTTTGCTCAGCTGAGATAGTGGTCCCTCAGTGGGGCAAATGGTTTCTTCCTGCAGTTTTGGCTCCTGCAGGTTCCCATCGCTGCTGCGTTCACCCAGAATTGCGCAGGAAGCAGTGGTCTCCAGGAAGACAGGGAATTTCATCCACACTCCCCACATATTCCATGTTGTTTTCGTCACTGTCCAGCTCAAAGTCTTCTGGAGAAGTCTCTGTGCATGCCCTGGAGCTCTGAGGGTGTTTCAGTTAAGGCCAGGGTGGAGTGGAAGGAGTACAGTGAATTCATTGCCCTCTGGTCCTTTTCCTCCCAAGCTTCTGCAATTGCTCACTTTGCAGAGTCCTGAAGTGACCGCCGGATGCAGTTTATCCGGGCTAGACACCTGCATTCAGGGGCAGAGGGGGTCACCACTTTATCCGTACCCGGAAAGTGCTTTGCTTCACTGTAAGGCTGGCTCCAACTTGGGTGTTTCATGAGGGCTCCATCCACCTTCCCAAGCCCTCCGTTCACTCTCTCGTTCCTTCTGTTACTCAGAATTGAATGCCTATGATGCCCCGCAAGCTGCATGCAAGCTACATGTCCAGCCTTGAAGGTGTTCAAACACAGCCCCGGGGCAGCGCAGCTCCTGCGTTTCGCATGTACACAGGCTTTGTCCCGCTGCTCATGCTAACAGTAGGTCCATAGAAAGTGGAGGAGTTTTGTTGCATCCTTGAGGAGGATGCCTGGGCCTGAACCCGACCTGACTGCCCCGCTCTGGGGTGCGGCTGAGGACTTCGGAAAGTCATATTTTCAAACACGCAGGTTTGTGGTTTTTGAAAGAACAGAAAGGATAAAAGCATAACATCCTGCAGGATTACTTTCTGCTGAAGACCAATGGATGTGACATCTGAAAATAATCTAATAAGTGTCTTGTTTTCAGCCTGCAAATGACTTTGTGAAAGTTGGGAGGGAAATTCTCCACTTGAAAAAAAATAAGAAAGACTGAAATGGAGATTGTGGGAAAGAACAAAGATGGGAAATTATGAGAGTGCTTTGAATTGTTAATAGCATTTATATTCGTAAAAATGAATCTCTCTAAAAACCTGGAAGTGCCCTAATAATTTTAAATCACCTTATACAGCACATGCCCCCAAACCCGATAACCTCAGAATTCAATCGCTTAGAACCATTTTTTGGAACATTATGAAATCTGGAAGTAGCCACACAAGGCACAGACTCTGCATTTAAAATTATTGAATTCCTTGATGTATTTTTTTTTCCTGTAAGTTCTTACATTTGGAAAGAAATCAAGGGATCAAAATATATTGCACTATTTTTAGATAAAATGATGGTATGGGTCAAAAACACGAGATTTAAAGTGAAAATTATGATGAAGAGCGTGAAGGAGAGCGAAGACAAGACTGCAGGCGGCACCAAAAGCAGAACGAGGGCTGCGCCTGCCGATGGAAGCGCTGCCGGCCAAGGTAAGGCGAGCGGGGGCGGGTGGTGAGGATGCTCCGAGGCAAGTGGAAGGACATGTCACCGACCCTGGGCTTCAGACAGCAGGGACTGAGGGAAAGAGAAACTTGCCCCGTACCACCGTGGCTGAGGGGTGACTTGGAGTTCCCGCAGCGTTTCATTAATGTACGAGTCAAATGCTGTTACGAGCCAGTGGGGATAACAGACAGTTTTACTTTGCGAATTTCTGGTTTCTAATGTTGCACTTGAGCTTAATTTTTACAGCTGTCCTTGTCTTAATGTTTTTTTTTTTTTTCTCCCTGGGGTTAATAGTTTCTAGTTACATATCAGCGTTTAAAGCAGCATGTCACCGTCAGGCAGCACACGGCTTCTGATGGTTATGGCGTTTTGGGTTGCCGCTAGTTCTCTGGAAGGGCAAGTGCTCCTGTGAGCGGTACAGCAAATCCCTCCTGTGATTGGAACATGGCAGCAAGGCTCAGGATGCACGCTAGACATCCCACCAAATGCCTTTTGCAAACAGCAACTCAATGAGGATTCCTGCCACGAGGCAAAACGCTTGGAAAGTTACTCAGCGCTGGCATCGCTAGGTTCGGGGTCAGCATGCTGAAACCAGGACTCATTATGCTCCTACCATGCCAACTCGGTGCAATTAGCCTAGCACGATAATTTCCTGCAGCCATATGTCGATCTTTAGGGGAGGGATGGCTTCATATGCCTGGTGGCTCTGAGCTCTGACTGGCATGTCCCAGCTTCGAGCACATTTCTGTAAATCAAGATAACACGGATGAGGCAGTCAAAGATGAGGCAGATGAGCCATCTTGAGTAGAGAGAGGAAACTTAGGCATGGGTTGCGTATTTGTTGCAAAGTGTTTTGCTGTTTTCCTTCTTTCCTTTGCAAGGACATTTTCAGAGGAAGGTCGCGGGAGCACCGCTGTGTGTAAGGCTGACTCCCTGCCCCTGCTCTCCCATACAAGTAAAATCAATAGAGGGACCTAGAACACAATAAGTTATGTTCAGGGCTGCGTGGCCCGTACTCCCATTGGAGACCTATCAATGTGAACTAGCACTGTTGGGAAATCTCTCCAGCTACCCTCTTAATCAATACCTCTGTTCATTATACATTGCTGATGAATATGGGTAATGATTGGGTGCCCGTGAGTCAGGTGACTAAAAATAACTGTGCCTTACTGAGAATCAATAGATATTCCCCCCAGTGTTACTTCAGGCAGTTCAATATTCTCAGCTGCCCTCCTCAAGCCCCTACCACTGTGATCCTCTCTCGTCTTCACTGATAGATCAGCTTCATCCTCAGAGCGGCTTTATTAAATTAGTAGCACTTAATCTGCTATGCTACTGTCAGCTGACACGGAGCAAACCAGCAGGCAGCAAGCCTTCCAGTGGCTCAGGAGAGCGACTGGCCACAACCAGCCAGTTTTGATTAGCTTTAGGCCACGAGCTGTTTCCATAGGTGCCTCTTCTCTAAGCAGGAGGATTTGCATCACTTAGTAACACTGCATACAACGTTTTTCAAGAAGGAGATGTTTCAGGGAGAATTCATGCCAGTTACAGGTGTGTTATGACAGACAAAAAGATCATACTTATACTTGGGTTCTTTGCAGGAGTGTGTTAACACATCCGTGACTTTAACAACCATATGCCTCAGTGGAGGTTGACTTCTCTAAAGTTGCCTAACCTTTATTTCTTTGCCCTCAGCCCCAAATCTCCCTGTGGGTGCTCAGAGTACTCAAGGAGGGACACCTGTTGATGCTTGGTGGCTAGCTCCCCAGATGCCCTGGGAGGTACCCCCAGTCAGGGATCTGTGTCTGGGTTGCTCCTTGCTAGGCCTGAGAGACGGGGGTATCCTGTCCAGAGGCCTGCACCAGTGGCTTGCCAGAGAGTCTGGGAAGTTCATGGTCTGGATTATAGGCTGAAGGAAACAGGAGATGTGGGTGGTACAAGCCAAGACTTTGGGAAATCTGGGTTTGAGGATGAAGCAAAAATCCTGAAGACACCAGCACAAGTTACACTGTGCATTAGTCTGAAGTTCTAACGGGGACACGTTTGGGAGGCAGGGGTCATATGAAACATTGCTGAGCAAATGCACTTTCTATATACTTCTTCTACGTCCCTCAAACAGTATAATAGGAGGAACTGTCACCAAATGGGACATCTTTCCACCTGCTCATTTTATTTCTAGATGATATTAAGCACCGTCTGCAGAAAAACCACTGTCAAGAGACTATAAACTGAAAGATAAGCCTTTAATCTGAAGAAATATAAAGTCATCCTGCTGGTGGCTGGGCTCCACACATTTGAAAGGACAGCTGGGAGGGAAATAATGTATATTTGCAGGAAGCAAAGGTGAAAAATAACCTAACTTCTTCCTTTAGTTTTCCTTTTCTCAGAAGAGCAGTAGCCTGGGAGAGAGGCATTCTGGAAAGACAGAAAAGCAATCCCCGAAGTGATAGCTTTGGTGTGGATAGACTTAGGCGGTGTCTACTGGGCCCCACGGGGACTGGCTTGGATCTCTGTAGCTCTGCCTCAGCTTTACCATCCCAGCAAAAGTGAGTTTCTCCTCCTAGGTAACCCATTAAATAGTACTGTGATTCAGCCCAAACAGGAGATGAGCTCTAAGTTAGCCAACGTGCGCCCTTAATACCCCAAGCCGAAGTATTATTTGGTGTATCTGTAAAGAGCTACTGGAAATTGTTAGATCTGTGCAAATCAAAAAGGTAAGAAGAGATCAGTGACTGATAAATCTTTAATATAAAAATTGTACAAGAATTTTGATACAAATTACAAGAGGTATTTGGACAAAATATGAATAAAATTCCATTTACATCCCAAACCCTTATGCATTTTATGCAAAAGACATACGGTAGACAGTTATAGTACAGAAAATACAACAAAGGAAGTAGCAAATAAAAAATTTAATTACCTTAGGCTACTAATAAAAACAAAAGGCAAAACAAGACAAAACAAAAACAAAAACCTTGCTTGAAGCACATACAGCATTTATGAAGCTACCAACATCACAAGGAGATCAGGGTGATCCAAGCCGTCCCTGTCCCTGGGCGCAGTTACTTTTTGGGTAGTGCAGACTTTGGTTCTGCTGCAGGCTTTGTGGAAGCGACTGGGTGATGCTGGTGAGAAAAATACAAACACAAAAGGCTAAACCCTTAAATTCCGAGTGAGGGAGAAGACATCTGGGTGAAAAAAAATTCCTTTTCCTCAAGATATTTTAATTCCCTTTGGCCATTTTCACTGTCAAGTATGCAGGTTGAGTCAAATGCTTTTGTTATGGGAGACACACCCGTGGGTTTGGGGTAAGAAAGCCCTGTGTTCTCCCGGCTACATGAGGCATCCTGATGCATCTCATAGGACTATTCTAGGTTCAGCATGAGAGAACAGAGAACTTTCCCAGAGCCGCAGGCTGCCGCTCTCCCACTCTGAGGAGAATGAAAAGCAGGGATTTCACAGAATGAGCCAGGCAGGGTATGAGGGAAGCAATGGAAAGGGTCATCTGCCTCACGGGGGATGACCCACTGGTGTCCGTCACCCTCATACTGTCCAGTGGGCCATGCACTGAACGACCAGCTGGCCTCAGGTCAATGTCTTCTCCCAGTTTCTTAACCTTCCTTGTGCCTGTGACGTCCACACACTCACACCAAGCTCTCCCGCTCTTTTTGTACTGGCGCTGGTATGAAAACGGTAAGACTCTCTGCAGAGCTGCAGAACCAAAGTTTGCACAGGAAAGCAAGTGCACCACATATTCAAAACCTTAGACAGTCACATCAGATTAATATGTAATACTCAAACACCTCGTCCACTTAATTCTTGTTTCGTAAACCCCGGGCAGGATGGAACACGCATTTCCAAAGCAATGAAAACCAGGTTGAAAGAGGGAGTGTTCTACCTTCTTACTTTAGTAAAGATTTATTTATTTACTTATTATTTTTTGAGGGGACTGGGTGATATCAGAAGAGCAGAATGCAGGAGGGAGATAATGGGCACGTCAGGGGAGATTAAGATAGGCAATAAGAGGAATGGATTACTCCGTACAAAGTCATGCAAAAACGCTCCAAATTGAGTACGAGGTTAAAAAAAAATAAACAATCAGCCTTGGTTTCTGCATCTCAAGTGAACCTATTCACTCAGCACACTGTCTGGGAGTTCAAGAGCATCGTACCTCATGAATCAGCGCTTCTCACGGCTACAGCCCTGATTCAGTGGCCGGAAAAGGCAGGCAGTGAGCTCCCACAGAAACGGGGCCAGGTCAGTTCACCTTGCAGGGGAACTACCAAGAGGGCTGGAGCGGCTCCTCCTTTTTGAAAACATTTCCAGGCCAGGTGAACAGAGCTCTTTCACACACCCAGGATCTCCCCAGTCTCCTCTCACTCTGCATTCCGTAACAGAAGTGGGCAGAGGCAATGAATAATTGATAGGTCTACCATCTTAGCTGTGCATTATGTCAACACCACGTTTGGCAACAGGAAGCCTTATAAAGTCGTGGTAGAGCACTTAGACTATCTTCAAGAAATATACTTTCCACTATCTACATTTCTCCACTTTTTAAAAAATACCCTTTTCTGCCCTTCCTTCCCTTCAAAGATTCTTCAAGGGCAAGCTAAATAAAAGTTTAAAAACATTAACAATGTCCTTAGGCATCTCTGCTAATCAGAGTGAAGGGGAGAAAGCTAATATCAACTAGCAGAATTTGTGCAATTTTGGCAGCCGAGTTTTTCATTAAGATTCCACGTTTGCTACGGAAACACAGAAAACACCAAGTCAGTGAGCTGCCTTTTCTCTGACCAAAGTCCTCGCTCCAAGTGCGTTTCTTCCCAGACCTCAGACTGGCTTACGCAGTGACTTAGCACAGCCCTGCCCGCATAGATCCGTCCAGCTGTCTAGGCCTGATTCTGCTCCCTCTCTTTGTTAAAGTCCATGGCAAAGGTGACATCTGCATGTGTCTTATGTAGTTGACTGATACCTTATTTGAAATGTGAATCTTCGTAGCAGGAGTTAACTACCTTCTGTCAAGCTTGCTGCAAGAGGGTTGGAAGGAGGCAAGGTGTCCCCTTCTCCAAGGAACACGCACAAGTAGATCTTGCATTTTATTCAGGCACTCATCAGCCACTATTTCAGTCACTGTTTACGTGGTTCAGTATACACAAATAGCAGGCAATATGGACACATTAATTGGTCTTAGGGTATTCTGCAATGTTTTCACATGTTCTTCCTTTGTACCTTTGGCCCCCACCATTCAATTTTGAAAAAACCCCTCTCACTGTACTCGTACTTATCCAAATCCTTCCAGTGGAGAATTTACCTTTTAAAATTAGGGTAGTCCTCGTATTAAGGAAGACAGCTAAAAGCCCAGTACTTTCAGATTGCCAGTATAGTTTTAGTCTGTCATGTTACAATATGGGTTTGCTTTCTGCTATTGAAAGATACATGTGTACATTTAGAGTAATGGCTTGATGCCAAAGATTTCAAAACATTTTTTACCACCATGCATAACCAATTTGTTTACAGCACATGCAGTTTTTGAAGGGGAAGACAATTATTTTAAGCCTTTCCTTATAGAACATGGAGCAATCTAATCCTACTATTGCTACTGACCGGCAGAAAAATGTGCTTTAATCGCAGGGCCACACCCAGTACTCCCAAAATAGATGGGCATTGATTGCAGTACTGAAGTTTCCAAGTGAGTAGGGTACCGTCATAGAGAGTACCTCTCCTCTGACCCTTTATGTAAGAAGGGTCTTGTTTCTGCTCACTGAACAGCGGAGAGGGCCCCTCGTGGCAGCCCGGGGCTTCCCAAACATACACCAGGTGTGCAGGTGCACTTCTGTGCTGGGAAGACGGGAAGCGGAAGGAGGGGGAGAGGGAGAGGGGGAGAGGGGGAAGCAAGGAAGGGAAAGGGAGGGAGAGACAGAGACAGAGCGAGAGAGGCTGGCTGTGAACGTGTGTGCGCATCAGGGAACTCTGTGGGAAAGCCTGGCCCTTGTACTCAATTTCCCCTTCACCAGGGATAAACAGGCAATTACGCATCCTTTTATATTTGATGGCCAAGTGCTGAACTGCAAAGCACACTATTAGTTTGTGTCCCTTCAGGGCCAGGGCAATAAGTAGCCAAGAGAGCTGGGGCTAAGGCAGAGAGGGTGTTGTCTGCTGTTAGTGTGACAGTCTTGTCAGCAGCGTTCACATTACTGGAAGGTAATAAAGTGACAAGTAAGTTATTAGAAAGATATGAGGTGAAATTGAGCTGAAGCTTCTCGCGGCTCGGCCCCAGCTCCTTCCCGCCCTGCTGCAGTGCTCCGCTGTTTATGAACTGAGCCTTGTCCCGACGCCCTATGTAGGATTTTTTTCCCTGCAGTAAAGGTCAAATGAATTTACAACAACACTTTAGAGAAGAAGAATAAAGATAGTTTTATGACAACTAGAGTGTTGCTTCAAAAAAATATATAGCATGCTAATGAACAATAATGCTGATTTAATTCAGAGTGCCTATAAAAATGCTTCGTTTTTTTAAACCCTGTTCTTAGGCATTTGAATTTCTCAATAAATGCCCAAAATACAGTAGCTGACATCTAGTTATTGCAAAATGACTATAAAAAATCATTTTGTGCAATATGCGGGGAGGATGACAAAAGGACACAGGGTAAGGTGGGTACTTGGTCAGAAGCGATGGCAGGTAATTCAGGGGTCAGTTTTACGGCTGGATTTTCATAATACTTCTTGAGAATTACCATTAGGGTGAGCAACACCCCAATGCCAGGAAATACAGGAGCAAGCGTGGAGCGAACCAAGTATGGTCTTAGTGGCAGCATAAGCTAGGACAGTTTTTATGAGGGAAAACATGAAAATGAGTTGCCTTTACACCTGTAGGACAGTGTATGAGCTGCAGTTTCCATCAAGGGAGGCCAGCCACGCATCACAATCACAGCTCTGCGTGTGGCTACGCTGGGCAAGCCCAGGTGCGGAGGGCCGCTCCACGCTGGTGTCACTCGCGCCTGCTCCTCCGCCCCGGCCACGACTGCGAACGTTTTGTCACTGAACTCTTCTAGAATTTACAGTACTCCCAGCATCATTTTGCTCCCAAAAGGACTCTAGCATCACTTCCCACTCAAAAGCAGTGGAAAAGCGAACACCAGAATCTCCAGACGGTCCCTGTCGGCCCTCCTGACCCCTCAGGAGCGCTGCGCAGCTGTCGCTTTTCTCATCTCTCCCCCGGCGTGTTGGGTAACTCACCTCCTCACGGGGAGCTCTGCAGCTGGGGTGTCCGTCCGCCGTGAGCCGCTGCCAGGCCGAGCTGCACCAGACTCCTGGACAGACGGCCAGGGCATTGACAGCTACCCCCAACCTGAGCAGGAGTCAGCCCTATACTGAGTATCACCCGTTCTGACGGAAATTTAGTGACCTCTCCAGTCCTTTCTGCCCCTGCCTTTTATTACCCTCCTATTAAAAAACAAAGAATGAGAGAAAAAGCAACCCCCCATAATTTAAATGTTTGGAGGGAGGTGCTTTTTTGTAAGTAAAATGTTTGGCGGAATTTTACACCCCTTTAAGTAAAAGGATGCTTCCATAGGATCAGAGTCTCTCCCGGATGGCCTGTTCTTTACGGCAGCATATGCAGCATGTCTTTGGGTTGTTTATCCTATCAATACCATCAAGCGAGAGGCAGAACTTGGGACCGCTCAGGCCAAGCGCCTAAGCACTTAGCGGTGTGTCCACTGCGATCTGATTCTCTTACTTGGCTCGTGTCTAGGCTGTGTGTGTTGGGGGATTGTATTTGGTGGGAAACTAACATATCCTCAATAAAATGAGGAGAGTGCTTCTGGACCCACGCGTTCTTGATAGAATCAGAGCTTTTTAAAAGAGCAGCGTCTGTACCAGCTGGGCTGTTAACCAGTTAGTGCCGTCCTCCTCTTACTGGAAGGGCCTGCAAATTCATAACCGAAGAAATCACACTCTAAAGACAGTGAAAGCACTGCGCTAAGAATGTTTTTCAAAAAATGTTTGTCCTGTTCAGAAGGAAAACATTTCACACCTTTAAACTTCAAAAAAACCATGAGGCTGAATAGGGCAGCTGCAGCTGAGTTACACTGGGCTAATTTCATTAAATATAATTACTAGCAAGACTAAGCAGGTCAAATTTTATCACATTTTAAAAAACCACAGTTCTTATCTTTTCCTTCTGCCTTCCCCCTCCACTGCATGTAGGTGCTTTCAAAGGTGGACTTAGCCTTTCTGATATTTATAAAACACAGTTTAACGTGATAAAAACAGTAAGTTTCGCCATCAGTTAGAGAACATGTACAATAATACTGCCTAATTTTGTACCTATGATACAACTCTGGCTATAATCGAACAGGAAAAAATCACTTGGGTGAAAATCTACATCCTTACTAATTTTCAGTCCGCATGAAATGGATGCAGCTAGAGAGAAACTGACAGGAAACCCCTATGAAAAAGTGAGTGAGAAGGAATGGCCAAAGATGAAGAGCTCAGGCATTAAAATGCAGATCCCTCTGTCCTTCCTGTTTGCACATCAGCCCTGGGACCACTAGCTTAAAAATTACAGTCGGGTCAAAACCCTGCACAGGTACAACGGAGAAGCGGCAACAGCTTGGGAGCAGAAGACTTGTACATCTTATGAGTTTACATTTTATGCACTGAACATGCATTCCCTCACCCACCCCATCCCTTTTCAGTGAACTGGCTTTATACTGGGGAACATTACTGTTGAGAAGGCCACCGTAACAATGTGTACTGAGGCACAAACTAGGAGTAAACAGGAGAGAGAATTTAGAAGTGCCAGCTGTCCAAGGTTTACTGTCATTTCCGACAAAAAAAAAAAAAAAGAGGTGAACACATTCACGTTTGCAATGAAGGGAAGTTCTGCTTTTCGAATCTTATTACCTCTGGTCCCCGTTCGCCAGCTGGGTATGGACATTATCCTGGTTTGTGGCAAGTAACAAGACTCGAAACTTGGTACATTTGCTACTGTGACCTCCTGACTGTCCGCAAGTCGCTCATTAGGCTGTCTGACCTTTTACCTGACGTTAAATTAAACAGACTAAGCATTGAGTTTGTAGGGATGAGTTCCACTACGTCAGAGCAAATTTTAAAAGTTGCTGAAATAAGAAGTGTGTATTATATTCATAATATCAGATACAACTTAGTCAGTGCTCTCTGAAATCCGAAGTCTCCATAGTGTTTTGTTGGCACACTCAACGTGTTTTATCCACCCTTTTGGAACCTAATCATTTGATAACAGAGCAACAGCACAGCACAGAGAACGCTAAGAGGACCACGATGTTTGCAAACAAATGTTCATTATTCTAGTTCAATCTTTCACAAACATACTGTACAGAGTCTTGTATGGTATAAAACAAAGGAAAACATCTCTGTCTATTCAATTTAACACAATACCAAAATGAAGCAATTAAGACTTTGGGGAATTCAAAGGTATAAGAAAACAAAACGGTTATTACTAATTCCTCAGCTTTTTACCGTAAACATTTGTCACTTAACAGACATAGTGTTTGATAGAGTTTCTTTTGTAATGCAAATACTTTTGTTCTTCCCTCACTGTAGAACAAATGAAGAACCAAAGGAACTCCATAGAACCTCATAGCATCCTCAGAAGGAGCCGAGAAGATAAAGCTCATATATATATATATATATATATATATATATCTCAGAAGAGCTTATCTTTAAGAATCTATTGTTTCTGAATTTTTCACAAATAAAAAATACTGAATCCTCAACAAATGATGCTTTTTGGAAACAATAAATACTGTGAGGTACAATAAATCCTACAGGAATAATAACAACAGAAACATATTAACAGTTTCCTTTGGCAAATTTAACGGAATTGAATGCTGATATGAACACAAAAAAAATTATTACAAAACATGAACTATGGAAATGACACGAAAGGTTTAAACAAGGGGTATTTCTAACTTTTAGACTCATGGGCGAAATGTTTGAGGCCATTAAATGCAGAAAACAAATACATTCTCTTTCTATCGTGTACTGTTTGACAAAAGAGTCCTTGTTTATCTTTTCCCTCCCTCTACTTAGAAAAAAGAAAAAAAAAAAAAAAAGACAACAAAAACATAGTCTGCAATGCACACCCTAATGGTTTTGGCTGCAGACTCAATTTGAGTAAATATCATCATTTAGTCAGTATGTTGTGGTAGCCGAGGCTGCCGATGTGGTTAACCAGCTCAGGCAACATGTGTAAACATCGGAAACAAAACAAAATAAAACAAAAAGGGTTTGGAGCAGTCTACCCCCTCCTCCTCACTGTCAGTTGCTTGGTTTCAGCCTTGCCTTCCTTTCTCTCTCACAAATTCATGTGGGGAAGCACAGAACATTACCCAGTCAGATTCTAGCTTAAACCTCCTCCCCGCCCTTAGAAGGAGTGCCGCTCGGTTCAAGTGTAGCTCGCGTCCGCTTCCAGGCACTGCTGCTGTGAAATGGCTTTGATTTTGTCCGTCAAACAGGACCGAATCGTAGCGCCACTGCAAAATTTGTGAGAAACGAGACAGCCATACAACAGACCGACCCGATTCAGACTTCTTTCTTTTTAATGGTTTGGACCTTGGAAATGAGTGTTCCACTTTTCTACTGCATTCAGCTTTGTTCCATCGTGAGTGATTTGGGCTTTTGTATCCTGAAATATTATCCTGCCTCTGAGGAAGAAACGCCTTGGCTGTTTCACACCACATAATTTTGTTTTCCTTTTATGTAACGTAACATATAAGCAAGAAGGATGCAATGTTGATTCTAATAACATTCAGCACTTGAAAGAATCACCGAGTTTTTTTTTGTTTTTTTTTTTAAGCGGTTTTCTGGTGGCCGACAAATTGGCCTGCGGTTATGTTGAGTGACTAATTGTATTTTCTTTTCTGGAAACTTGTGCAAAGTTGGCAGTTTTGTGTTAACACTAATACTTTTGTTTGGCGTTCATGCCCTATACTGACCAGACCATTTTTATACAAGTGGATTTTTTTTAAAAAAGACACTTACTGAAGTATGGCAATAGTTTAAGGGTAAAAAAGAAGCATGGATATTACACATCCCCTTGTAGTGTATGAAAAAAGTGCATGACTGGATTTATGTACTAGTACAGAACATTTTAAAAATCAGATCTGTGCTGTAAAGCATGCCAGCACCTCTTTATCACTATATCTAACAGGTAGTAAAAACAAGACCATGTTTTCTTTTTTAAAAAAATGTGCATTAATGCTAACATAAATGAACAGAGCTAGCCAGCAAACTATTCTTTTCCTGCATATCTAACAGCTGGATGTAACTGTAAAAATTAAACAAAAGAGTTAAACAACCATCAATACAACTGTTTTACATCATTGGCCTCTCAAGGCTAAATATTTACAGGTGAATCTGCCATGCTTTAGTTGAAGATTCTCTCAAAACCTTAAAGTTCACAAAAGACAACTATACGAAGTTCCTCTTTGTTTCTTTTTTCTTTTCTCCCTTTTATTTTTTGCAGGCAACAGTCATGGGTACAACAAACTGTCTCCTTGGAGAAGACCATGAATTATGCTATCGAAACTGGGGCTGGACGCACGCTTTACCTGTGTGTGCGTGTTGAAAGGGGGACTATTTTCACCCCCAAATTAAAGATTCCACCCCTTTCCCCAAACTATGAAGGAAAAAGAAAAAATTCAAAAGCACCTAGTGTTTATCTTTTTCATCTAAAGAAAGTATGTGTGTGTGTGCGCGCGCAGACGCAGAGGCACGCATATGCGCGCGCACGCACGCACGCACGCGCACGCACGCACGCACCCCGCCGACACACACGTACGCCCACGCTGCCGGTGGCAGTTCGCACGTGCAGGTGAGAGCTGGCGTCTGAAGTGTCCGTCCTGGGACTAATCTATGGAAGCGAAGGGCAGGTTTTTGTGGAGATTGGGGTTCTGACTGTGCCGATTGCGGCTTCTTACAGAGGAAAACATCATGTTGCAGCCGGGGACTTTGCACTTGTGCATCTCTCGCAGGTGCACCGTCTTGTAGTGCACCCTCAGCGTCCCCTTGTTGCTGTACATTTTGTGGCAAATGTTGCACATGATCCCGCCGTTGCTCCCCGACAAGCTGCTGAACATCAGAGATCCTGAAACTTCAGCTCCTAGGCTGCCGGGGAGGGCGGCGGCCTCAGCCTTGTGCACCGACTCCCCACTGTCACTCGCCCCGTCAAGGTCGTCGAGGAGAATCCCCTCATCGCTGCCTGCGTCGGACTCTCTGGAGGAGTGGATGCTGCTGCTGGACTGGAGGCTGGAGGTGGTGCTCAGGTCAAGGACCATGTAGTCCTCCGCCATGCCCCTCCCATACCCGTTCAGGTGCGAGTCTTCCGTCCCCGCGGGAGAGGAGGCATCTTCCCTGACATCGAGCCCCAGGGGGTGCTGGGCACCATAGATCTTCACCAAAAATTCATCCCGGAGGTCCTTGCTAAGGGAGGGCTGCGAGGAGTCCAGGCCCATGTCATCGAGTTCTTTGGTCAACAGTTTACGATGCAGATTTATGTTGGCACTGTGTCTAGGAAAACAAGAGGGAAGGGGGTAGGTGCACAGGGAGCGGGGAGGGCAGAAAATGGAGAGCATTTTAAAATTGATTCGCTTTCACCAGGCATCAAATAAGCACACTCGTTTTACACCACCGTAAAAGCAAGCATTTTGCTACATCCTCGGGGGCTGGGAGGTACAGTAAGGGAAACTATCCTTTCACTAATTTTTGGAAGGGTAAAATATTCAATGGTAGGATGAACGTAAACCCATGCACCCTTTCCTCAGCGTTTGGGTTACTGTTGCTATGTAGCAACCTCGGCCTCCCAGGGCCTCGTAGAAGAAAGTTTAGAATACATGTACAGTAAACAGATTAAAAGAACAGAAACCTTCTTGCTTGTCTGAATAGAATAGTCTAAATTTATCTCAAAACAACCCCCTTCTTCGTACAGTAAACACTGTACTGAGGTATAAAAATATCTAAAAGGAGGGCTGGGGATTTAGCTTAGCGGCAAAAGCGCCTGCCTGGCAAGCGCAAGGTCATGAGTTCGGTTCCTGGTACAAGAGAAAAACCAAAAAAAAAACAACAACAACAACAAAAAAAATATCTAAAAGGAAATGGTCTAGATAACTTAGATTTTATTAAAAAATAATGAAATCTTCACCCCCACTCTTCTGTATTTCAACTTTTAAGAAAAATATTTGTTTGTTAGTACTTTAATATACAGTTAAAAGACTCTTGAACAACTTAAGTCTATTTCTCAGAAGGCTCTGAGATCTCAGTTAAACCTAAGGGCAAAAATACATTTTTTCAGAAGCTGCTATGCTTTAATTGTTGAAACGTTTTCATCAAATAATTTCATTTTAAAATTCTTTAAAACAAAGGTATAAAAATTATGTTTTAAAATACAAACCCACCCACCCTTTAAAAATGACACTAAACAACAGGGAAAAAAAACCCTAAGAGGACAAAATTAAGATACAGTAAGTACAAAAAAAATCAAGCACAGTAACTTACGATCCCTCTAGGCTAACAACTGGAACCTATACGGCTTATACAAGCAAAACTTTTACTCTGTTCACTGAATGTTTTGCTTGTGTTAAAAAAAAAAGGCAGGTTTGTCCCCAAGCATCCAAAGGGACATTACGATTCACAAAGCCTGATGCCATTACTCATTTGAAAACATGGTCTTTGTATTTACGTCCCCATTCATTTTTAAAGTGCTCTTGGGCATATACCTCTCTCCAATTGCAGAGCTCAGACGTTTTGCAAGCACCTCAATTGAACGCTACCCTTCCCAAAGTAGACCGATAAATAGGTAAATAAAGCTTCTCAATGCTGGCACAGAAGCTCTACATCTTGCAAAAGCAATCGTGGTAACAGAAATGACCTGAACGGTCAGTATAAAGTCCAACCGACATTTATAATTAAAAAGTACAGAAGATCAAAGCTAGCCGCTCTACTGGACAGCAATCATGGCCGCTGTTTCCTACAGATGGTCGAGAGGTATGTGCCTCAGGGGCAGGGAAGGTGGGCAAGACCTCTCCACCTTCCACACAAGACAATGGGTAGCACTTTGGGTGTCAGGGGCGGAGGGCACGGCCCTCTCCGCACTGCACTTGGGAAGGCTGAGCTTACCTTGTGATAATAAGATCAGCTTTCTAATCTTTTGCTAAATCGATCACAAAAGAAAGCAAGAATGAGAGACAGAGAGAGAGAGAGAAAGAGAAAGAAAGAGAGAGAGAGAGAGAGAGAGAAAACAAATTCACATTCTAGACATCTGGTTTAAAAAAACAAACAATAAAATAGGGATTTAAAATGTTTTGATCACAAAATAATTTTCTGTCATAAGCGATCATCTCATATGCTGTCTTGATGATTTTCAGATCAGCTGCGTAATCCAAAAATCATAAATCAAATTAAGATAAACCAAATTCACAGTATCATCACCATCACCCATAAATGAATCCAAGCAGATACATGCAGTGTGAGGGTGTGTGGATGACAAACAGAAGCTGTCCCCGTGGCCCCTGCTCAGACACAGTCATCCCTGCTTTCTTGGTACCAAATGGCAGATGACTTCAAATGCAAGCTGCTAAGTAGAATACAGGAAATGCCTGCTGCGAGTCTTTTCCAGGACGTGAGTACAGCATCGCAAGGGTTCTAACAAGAAGGTACAAACTGAGTTACGCTGCTTACGTGCTGTTATTCTATTGATAAAACTATCTACCAACTCTAAGCAGCTCACAGAATCTTATCCCTCAATGTATCACTTTTAACACGCTCCCCCCTTCCTCAATCTCACACACACGTTGTGCTACGACTGTCATCTAGAACAACCGTGCTGTTTCTCACACATCTGTAGTTACACTTCCTAGGTTCCCTGCTGAGAAAACAGCAACCAGACACACAGTAGTCACACCCAGTCACGCTGAGTAAAGAGGAATAAATTAACACTGACAAAAGGACACGCTGATCACCCAGACGGACACCTACCTCTTCCCTACAACAACTTGTGAGATGACACATCCCCACTGATATGTTACCAGGAAGAGATTTTTTTCTTCATTTCTCACTTACAGCAGTAAAAATCTGTAATCTAATTAGATGATGTACCAGCCCTCAATATCTGTCAACCAAACGATGTGCAGAAATGTGCGGACCAGCTCTGGCACTCTGCTCAACAGTGTCCCTTTTCCGCTGTCAGCAGTACTGTTGGCCTCTGCTAATATAATTACACTGACTTTTATTCAATTAAGTGCCATCCCTCATTTAAAAAAAAACCTACTTTATCAATTGATTCAGGTGTAATGCAATAATAAGGATGAACTCATGGCAGTGCATTAGCTCTGCTGCTCATAGCTCCAGTACATGAGTTCATTCATGGTAGTCGATTTCCATTATGCAACCACAGTTCAACAGAATTGATTCTTTTATGTTCATTTCTTAATCTATTTCATTTTTGTTTAATAATCCTCCCAAACGCCATATGCAAAAACCTGAAGTGAGGACTGGAAGAACGGGCTGCGGAAAGCCTGTTGGTTCATTCTTGGGATAGCAAGGCTTGGGGGCTTTCCAACAAACTCATAATCGTATGGCTGAGCTGGAGAAGAAATGTGAGAGAAGGAGGGAAAGAAGAGGGATGGATGCTTCAGAGACTGCTGATCCTACCCTTCAAGAGGTCAGAGTTCCGCTCTCAGAGAATGTTCAGGAGGCCGTGCCTGATTCCAACAAAGGAGTACTGTTGGACTCTCCAGTCAGCCAACCCAAATGAGGAGCTGTCATAGAACACCGCCCCCGCAAGACACACAGACCTCAGGTTAATAGCAATTTGAGGGACATTACAAGTTTATTTGGGTCAGCAAAACTCAAGAGGTGAAAAGAAACGGGAAAATGAAACAATGAAAGAGATAGGGAAGTCTCACCTACTGAAAATCACCACGTAGAGAGAAGGTCCTAGGGCAATAAAGTAGGAAAATGAATCCATAAAACAATCAATTTGGAGTCTCCAAGAATAACTATTTTCTACAAATAAATTCAGTCTTCTCTACGTTTGTCTTCAGAAGAGAATAATCCTGAACAAAAATCTAGTGTGAATTAGAATTTCTTATATTTTATAAGAATGTAAACAATATGAAAGCTGTTTCTACCCGCTCTGATGAGACAGATGATATTGATGCATGCAGGCAAAGTTCTCTTAAAGGAAAAAAAAAAAAAAAACTAAACTAAAGACCAGACTGGGATGGAGAGAAAAAATGAGTTTGTAGATATAAAGGTAAGGATTAACACAATGATCCAAAGGTTAGTTCCAAGGAGGCTATTTTCAAGAATACAAACTAAATATGTGTACAGTAATTGAACTGTATATATCCTACAGATCAAGTCGAATAATTTGCACACAGGAGACAGTATAATTATTTGCTCTCAATCAGTAAGACACATGAGTCTTAAAGAAGCTTTACCCAAAATACACTGCAAAAAGAAAGAACACAAAAATCCCACGGCAGAAGCAAGGAAAGCGGTATTTAAGAAAAGACACTGGTAAAACGCAAAGGATAACCCCAACACTAAAAGTATCTCAGTGTGGTCCATGAGGCATGATGAGTCTAAAAATTAGAGCGTGGAAAGCCTTCTGACGCAGGCTACACAAGGAATTTAAAATGTTTCCTCTGAACCTCTGTGCTCTTTCCATACGGTGAATTTACCAAAAGCTTCCTGGAGACTACGGTCACAAAAGCAAAAAGTCATAGAAAGCAAAAAGCATTAATGTTTTAGACTGGGGGAAAACTCAAACTTCTTTTTTTCAATTTGAAATACTGAGTGAAAGTCTCTGAATTACAAGTCTTTTTCTGTTTGATGAAAACTTTACCTTATTCTCATAGAAGACATAAAATTCATCACATGCAGCCAAGTAAGTGCAAATGCCTTTTAGGGAGGGAACCTAAATCCTAGTCCTGCTTTGGACTTTTCTCGTGTCTCTTTTTCCCACTTGTCCAAATGCCCAGTTGGATTTAATGCAGTGTTTCACAAAAAGTAAAAAAAAAAAAAAAAAAAAGACAAAAATAATTTATTTAAAAGGAAGGTGTTCTGAGCCCTTGTCTTCCATACTGGGGACTGAACCCAGGGCTTTCACACTGAGCTACATCCTCAACCCTTATTTTTCTATTTTGAAACAGGGTCTCACGAAGTCACTAAGTTGCTCAGGTTAGGCTTGAACTTCCAATCCTCCTGCCTCAGCCTCCTGGAGTGCTGGGATTACAGGCATGCACCACCAAGCCTGGCTTGTTTTTGAGTTCTCAAATTTGGCTTCGGTATACAGGAAAGAATTATGTTTGTGTACACCTGTGTTTAAAGAAAAGGTCTCATGACTGGGTTTAAAAATCAGACTGGGAGTCAGAAAGTGAATACTAAGTAAATCAAGCTATGCATTACATAAAAGGTCCAACATCTAATTCGTAAGTCTTAATCAGTCTTGGGTCATTCTAAACTCAGTGAATTGAAAGAAGACACTTGGTAATTAATTACATGCCTTG